GGAACACTCGTGCACTGTTGGTGGGAATGCAGACTGGTGCAGCCACTATGGAAGACAGTATGGAGTTTCCTCAAAAAGTTAAAAATGGAACTCCCATTTGACCCAGTGATCCCACTTCTAGGACTATATCCCAAGAAATCAGAAACACCAGAAATATATTTTCTTTAAACACACAAGAAATTAAGTTAATAATAACTGTACCTTAATCTTTTAATCATTTCCCCCTTAATACAATGTTAGATTTAATGATATTTTCTTTGCATAAAATAATTTTTAAAACAAAACATTTTTTACTAGCATAGAACACTGTTGATATATACCTAATCTGAATGTTATAAGCATTTCCCACATATCAAAATATTAATTGACATTAAAGTTGAGTATACTTTTAAAGTTTGTCTTTAACATGATTAATACACACGTTTATCTTTCATTGCCCATAGCTTAGTCTTTTGAAGTAGTCCCCACAATATGGTGATGGTTACGGTTTTAGGTAGTACCTGTTTCATTGCTATGTGTTAATTTATGTATTAAATTGCATGTGTTATTAGAAAACCCCCATAAATTAGCACATTAGAGAAGAGGTGGGGACAGGTGAAGCCCAGCTTGTGTGTTGAGGAAGGGCACCTAGAGGCACCACCATCACTGGGGAGCCCAGGAATGTGGGCAATCTCAGATCTGCAGGTCTCATGAAGAGAACGGTTTCCTGAAACAAGCAGGTCAGGGAACCCTACTGTCATGAAGCTGACCCAGCCTGTGGGCTCCTAAAGCTGTGGTCACGTGGATGCTGCCATCATGTGGACACTAGCTATGTGGCAGGCCCAGAAGTACTGATCCTGTCAGCACCTGAGCTCACCTGGTCTCTCTAGACCTGTTGCCACTGTGGTCATGAGGTAGGTCCAGCTCTTCAAGTCACTAGAGCATCGTGGACTCTTAAAAACCCCGCCCACCATGTGGATTCTTCCTGTCATGTGACCCTTACTAGTTAGTGGCATGCGAAGGCATCAGCCCTCAAAATCACATCAATGAACGGCTTATTAGGGTCACGTGGATGGTATGGACGTGTTTGCCCCTATGGTCACATGTCAGGCTCAGCCATCTCTACCATGTGAGGATTGTGGGCTATGGAACTCTGCAGATTTTAACTCAGCAGTTACGTGGCTTCTACCATCTCAGCACAGGCAAAGCCGGGCACTCGTGTGAACCCTGCTGCTACCCAATCACTGTGGCTCATGTATATCCTAGGGTCACGCACCACGCACCACGCATCACGCTATTATCACGCTGCATACTATGATCATGCACCACGCTATGATTACGTACCACACTATGATCACGTATCACGCTATGATCACGTACCGCGCTATGATCACGTATCGGCGCTGTCATCACATATGATCACGCGAGAGTCCGCTCTCAGGCGAGAATCGAAGTTCTCTAGAACTCTGAGTGTCTCCATTTTGTGACTCCTGTTAGGATCGGTCTTGGGAGTCAGGTAAGGCCCCACAGCTGCCAGTGCTGTGGATCCCGCAGTTTTGTGACCCCGCTATGGCCATGTCCGCCATTTAATGTGTGGTGAGTCCTCGACTGTAGCTCCGCTTATCTTTCTGAGGAGTCAGACTGCCGGTAGGTTCAGAAAACCGTTAAAACGGTCCGCGCGCTGGCTGAGGGGGGATTTTGATGAGACAGGCCCACCGTATCTCCCCCCCTTCGTTCCCCTCCTACCTCCCGAGCGGTGGGCCTCACTCCGTAGAGGGACGCCACCGGGTAGGAGGGTCCCGAGTCTGTACTAGACGTTTTTTTTTTTTGTTTTTTTTTCAGAGGATTGGCGCAGAAGAGGGCGTGGCAGGGGTTTATGGACTTCTCTTGAGCCCAGGCTGAGGAAATCAGGTAAGACCCTCTTCCCATTTCCCTCCCGCTGCCACATCAAAGCCCTGCTCTTCGGGCAAACAGTTCTGGTTTGTGTGGGCGGGTGGGGGTGAGTGTTAGAAGAAACATATTCTTGGTGGGTAAGTGTTAACCAGACTTGAGTTTCAGTCTTCTTGATTCTGCCACTTACCAGATGTGCAACTTCAGGCAAATAATTTACTTCTTTGTACTCAGTTTATCATCTGCAAAATGGGAATAATAATGGTACCTGCCTTGTAAGGTTCATGTGAAGATTAAATGAGGTGATCTCTGGTTTAAAGAGAACTTCCGATAAACAAACATACACACACACACACACACAATTGGCCTGCCTGTACCACATAGACCAGTAAAACACACACAAACACACACACACACACACACACACACACACACACACACACCAAAACAAAAAAACTAACTGTGCTCCTGCTTACCATCCTCCCGTATTCACTGTCTGTGCAGTGTGATGGCTTACTCTGGTTAAGGACACCAGAGACCTCTGAGATGCCAATTTGTATAACCAATTCCAAATCTGATTTTAATTTCTGTTCCATATTGGCTTCTAGAGAAAGAGAGGGAAGGGAAGAGAAGTAATTTTTTAAAGGAATTTGATTTTTTTAATAAAAGTGTGAAAGTACCATCATGTGAAGAATCAGAATTTATTTCTTATATTTACTTACTGCTCAATAGTTTCTTTAAAATTCATGTGGGCCCTGGTCAGGTGGCTCAGTTGTTTGGAGCATTGTCCCATACATTATAAGGTTCCTTATTCAAGTCCCAGTCAGGGCAGATATTTAAGCTGCAGGTTCGATCCACAGTCAGGGCGCATATCCTCGGGTGAGGATAAATAAATAAATAAATAAATAAATAAATAAATAAATGCATATGGAGTGGGTTGCCATAATCTTTTTGTGCTTGGGTTCCCTAAATGGTTTAAACTAGTTTAACCAAACACTATTGCTTTTGATTTTCTAACCATTGCTTCTTAGAGTCCTTTAAAACTCGCTGCTTTTCTTCAAGTGGAAAACACTAACTTTTTAAGGAAAAACATATTAAGTGAAATTATATGTGATATTTGCATTTAATAAACTTGTAGATGATACTGAATAAGTAAAATTCAGCAAGTAAGGAATATGTTTACATTTATGGGTATTTAAATATTGTATGAAAGATGGCTAAGGAATGTTATTACTTGTGCTATTATTTTATTATATCCACTTTATTTTTCTCTCATTTCACCACTTCCAGGTTTATTAAGAGACACTATGTCTAAAAGAGAGCAACAACAAAAATGTCCTCCATTAAAGGAATATGGGACATACAGAAATAAAGGTAAAAGGGTTTCCATATCGTATTTTTAAGATAATATGCTAATATCTCAAGGAGAGGATAGTATCTTAGTTGGTTCATGCTGCTATAACAGGACATCATGGATTGGGTGATTTATAAACAGAAGGTATTTATTTCTCACAGATCTGGTGGCTGAGGAGTCCAAAATCAAGGCACTGGCAGGGTCAGTGTCTCATGAGGGCCCACTTCCTGGTTCAAATATGGCTGTCTTATTCCTGTGTCCTCACATGGCAGAAAGGGCAAGAGAGGTCTCTGGGTCTCTTAGAATGACACTAATTCCATTTATGAGTGCACCTCCACTGTGATCTAATCACCTCCCAAAGCCACATCTTCTGATCAAGTTAGATATTAGGTTGCAATGTAAGCATTCAGTCTAAAGCAGGTAGTTTCCTTTTCTTATATGGGAATGGAACACTTTTCCACAGACCATTTGAGGTACTAGTGTGCTGTGGAAAACATTTTAGGAGACACTGTTCAAACTAATTCTCTTGTACCACACTAATACTGTGTATCTATGTATACCTAGAACAATGTAATATGTATACATATTATACTAATATGTATAACTTATGCTGCTCATTAAGAAACTACTTATTTCTCCTTACCTGATTTTATCTTATTTCTCATGCTTAATCTGTCCACTTGTTCATTCTTTCCATAACCCTAGTTTGTAAGTATGTTTCTAATATCATGATGGCAAGAAATAAGTGTATAAGTGCAAATCATTAGGAAGTCATCTAATAATAAGGTAATATAAAAATTGGTTAGTATACCGTCACGAAACAACAGATTAGCAGGCTGTGTGCACAGCAGGAGTGGGTGGGTGGGGACTTACAGCATTGGTGGGCAGGTTCTTGTGCTGCCTGGGGATGTGAGACTCATGTCCCTGACCCTGGAAATGGGCCTGGGACATAAGACTTGTGTCCCCGACCCCTGCACCTGCCCAGGGACATAAGGCTCACGTCCCCAACCTTGGCAATGGGCCCCAGGATGTGAGGCTCGTGTCCCTGCCCCCTGCGCCAGCCTGGGGACTTGAGGCTTGTGTCCCTGCCCCCAGCAACAGGCCCAGGGATGTGAGGCTTGCATCCTTGCCCCGGCAACAGGCCCGAGATGTGAAGCTCACATTCCTGCCCCCGGCAATGGCCCGGGGATGTGAGGCTCACATCCCCACCCCTTGTGCTGGCCCGGGGACATGAGGCATGAGTCCCCAACCACAGCAACGGGCCTGGGGATGTGAGGCTCACATCCTGCCCCTGCCCCCCAGCAAATAGCAATATTAAAATATTTCCTCTAATTAATTCCCTTTTAATGTGCATGAATTTCATGCACCAGGCCACTAGTCCTATATAATAAAAGCCCAGTGACAGAACAGAAGAATGACCAGAACAACCTCAGCCCCCTCATCCCGGCTAGCCCTGTGCCTCAGCAGGTTCCCCCACCCCAATCGGGGGTGGGGCTGGCCGGCAAACCGCCCGTGGCCCCTCGCCTGAGTGGGGTGATGGATAGACCCTACCAGTGCACAAAGTCATGCACCAGGCCTCTAGTGTATAATACAAGTACAGTGTCCCACTCATAGAGAAAGATACAACTTACCTGTAAAGACAAGCAGATGCAGAGTCTCTCATTTTATACCAATTTTCCACACTTTTTAAAGCTATTATTACTTAACTAGAGGCCCAATGCACAAAATTCGTGCATGGGTAGGGTACCGAGGCCTGGCTGACGATCAGGGACAATCTGTGGGGCAACTGGCGAGGTGATAGGGGGCCCCCCTCGCTGGCACCCAACTTGGCATCCTGGCACTGCCTGCTTGCTGGCCCTGCCCCTGCCGCCGCTGGTTGCCTCCCTCTGTGAGGTGACCAGCAGGGTGACTGGGGGCCCCGCTGGCACCCACCTTGGCTGGCCTGGGGGTTGGGGGAAGCTCCTGCAGTGAGTGTCTTCCCCTGGTGGTCAGTGCACATCATAGTGACTGGTCATTCTGCTGTTTGGTCGACTTGCATATTAAGCTTTTATTATATAGGACTAAAGGCCCGGTGTGAAAATTCGTGCACTCGGAGGGCAGTCCCTCAGCTCAGCTTGCACCCTCTCGCAGTCCGGGACCCCTTGGGGATGTCCGACTGATAGCTTAGGCTCACTCCTTGGGGGAGCAGGCCTAAGCCATTAGTCAGACATCCTTAGCACTGCTGTGGAGGCGGGAGAGGCTTCTGCCACTGCCACTGTGCTGGCCAGCCATGAGCTGGCTTCTGGGATGAGTGGCCCTACCCCTGTGGGAGAGCACTGAAC